GTAAGTGCACGGTGACGTATTTCCCATTGAAATTGGTAAGTGCACGGTGACGTATTTCCTGTTGAAATTGTCAAGTGTAGGGTGCAACTCCCTACTTTAGGAACTCTAGGGAGAATGGGTACAAGCTTTGGGTGCAGTGATTTCAGGGATTGTTTGGGTGGACGAGCGTTAGTTATGATTGGTTATTGGTATTCAAGGTAAGCATTAACCAATCACAATTAACGTTTGTCCACCCAAATGATCCCAGAAATCGTTGCGCCGAAAGCTCGTGAACATAACGATTTATTGCATAAATCAGCTCTATTTACGAAACATAAACATGATGAGCAAACTACCAGAATTCACAACGCAAAGCGAAAAAACACATGTCGAAGAAACCAAAGGGGGGGTCCGAGCCCCTGAAGACTAACTTAGGGCCTAGTTCCCACACGTCCGAACAATCTAACAGAAAATAAACTTTCAGTTCCGAACAGCTTGTACCTAGTCTGATTCCCCTTATAGTTTCTGGAGTGGGGAACTGCATTTACTTGTTTTGTCGATATAAGGTGAAATTTTCATTTCAGAGCGTGACGCATAAGGACGATGGAAGTATGACAGAAGTGGCTATTGATTTTGCCACTTACGGCACAAAACCCTCTGGAGATAGGAGTGGTGCTTACCTGTTCCTACCAGATGGTCCTGCCGAGGTCAGTGCTTTTTGGTCTGTTGCTGGGCAGTGCACACAGAGTCGTATGAAATGAGTTAAATTTCCGCTGAATTGAATGGAAACTTATTATCATGTATGAAAGGGTGGGATTTACATTCTGGGTCTATCGGTCAATGGTCAGTAATTTGTAAGCATTATTCTACGATTCTCGATTGAAGTCCTCTTTACAAGTACAGCACTTGTTCTTTCTTGTTGACAATATTTGTTTTTTCATGTCGTGACTGATTAATTCGCAGGCTCACGCCCTAGGGGAGCAACCATCGATTTACGTAAGCAGAGGAAAACTGGTAAGTGACTGGTAATAAGGATAAGGATCGAGTCTTTAAAAAAAAAGAACTTTACTTGGAGTAAAAATGCTTCTTTTTCTTGAAAGTTCCTTCTTAATGGTTGAGAGATTAGTATCTAAGAAAAGTTCCACGTGATTCTTCTTTGGGAAGTGACACCAAATAAAAGTGTGTACTGAACCGTGTTGAAACGTAATGCCGCGCCATAAAGAATTCAAAAGCTGACTGTCTGTGTGTTACAGCGCCTCAAAACATGAACGTCTGTTCTCTTTAATATGTCTTCAGATGCAGGAAGTTCGAGTCGCCCTTCCAAATGTCGTTCATGTCGTCAGAATGTATTCCATATCTGGTGAGTGGTTTGTATTTAGTTACACAATTTGTTCACAAACTTAATGGAGTAGGCACTGATCGTGGATAACGTGTATGTTTGTTTGTGAGACGCGTTACATGCGAGTGTTCGCTTGCCGAACCAACTCAGGCAACAAAGGAAGAGTTTAAATACGTACATGCATGAAAATTCTTTTCATTAGGGCAAATTATAGAGGAATTAATTCCTTAATCACCAACAGTAAAGGAAAATACAAAAAGGCCCTTTGCAGCCGGTCAGAAAAGCAAAGAAAACGCAATGGGGCAAGACTGATATCATTCAAAATTGAAATTACTATTTAAATGATGCGCTCTTTGTGTTGTTGCATTGTGATCCTTGCTTTCCAGCAAGCCAGGCCTTTTTATGCCACGTGACTGACCAGCTGCAAAGGTCCTACTGCTTGTAGCCGGTGAAAAGCGCGGGAAATCTCATGCAAGTGGCTGAAAAGTTGGTTTTTGTTCTGATTGGCCGAGATCAGGCGCACAACTCCACTTTAGCTAATCACGGAACGTAGTATTGTAATTCAACCAACTGAAAATTTATCTGAGAGCGAAAATTGACAAGTGTATTGTTGATGGTACACTGCAGGTCCCGAAGGACGAACTTTGGATATCCAAAACAAAGTGGACATCAGGGATTTCGTGAACAAGGTAAGACAGCGCTTGTTAGTTGTTGTAAGGAATTACCTGCTTACCGACATGTGTATGATAGACGTTGTCATGAAATCTGGTTGCTCTTACTAAAAGCAACTTTCATGTACTCTTGTCACTGCGTTTTCACCGATCAGTTTGTTTGTGGAACGATCGTGGTGTGCATTTAGAGTATCTTCTAGGTCTCACAAACCAGTCAGCAAAACCTACGTACCTGAAAATTGGATTTTTGACCTTTTAATAACGTCGAGTTCGTTCTCTGTTGCTTGTACTTCGAATGCACTCGTAGACGGAGCGGAGCTTCCATTTTCGCGGGGGAAAGTGTTCTAAAATGCAGCTTAAAGAAAACGAGTCCGTGACCTAGTATGGAAGCCTTTTGCTACGGGTTATGCCAGGCTCGTATTATCAAGCAAACTTAAGCGCTGTAAATTAACACAAATCTTTTTTTGCAGGAGTTAGTTATGAGAATAAAGAGCAACATACAGAACACTAACAGAGACTTTTACACCGACTTGAATGGATTTCAGGTTTGTTGGAAATATTACTTAAAGTATATAGATAATGCCTTCTTTTCAAATTGCTGAAGTTTCGAAAGTTAAGCTACTCAGCAAGTTTTCGAATATGCTGTTTTTGTTTGTTTGTTGTGCTCACTTTACAATAGGATGTCGTGCGGCGGGTGCTGTTTCCAATAGCGGCCTGCACGCTCAGATAATTAGAGCTGAGGTCTTATAAGCTGCATGTTTTGAGGTCAAATTTCACTTCAGCCTCTGATTTTTTGGAAAGAAAGTCGTTTTTTCAAAACAGTATATTTGAGCTCCGTAATGCGTAAGGGAAGGATGTATGGACAGTTTGAAAATTTCAAAATTAACGAGAATTTGTTTGGAAAACCACTCAACCGTGACTGGGTGGCAGGAGTTGTTTTTTCCTATACATTCGGCGGATTCGGCGAAGTAAAGAGGAGCGCGAAAAAATAAAAACGAGGGAGGGGGTAGGGGAGAGGAGAGAGAGGGAACTCCTGTTGTACCGCACCGCTCTCCCCAGTCCCCCTGCTACTTTTCCTCGCTTTCTTTACTTCGCACCCGTCCTCACTATCTGAAGGCCTGCCCTGGGAAAGGTTAGGGTGAGGAACAAGACTGGACTCGAAAGAGCGGCGGATTGGAAATCGAGCCTATTATAATGGCTGCTTTTGAAATATACGGAAAAATTCAATGGTTGTCAAATTTTGTATTTTTTTCGTTGTCTTTTTCGTCTATATAAGTAGCAAAATGCTTGCAGTTGTTTTTATTTGGTCTGTAAGGAAACCGCGTTTGAGGTTATTAACTGTGGAGACGATCGCATCAGTGCAGTGCTGTTGTTTGAAAAGTTGCACAGAATGTGGCGCGTAATGCCGCATTGTGTGGCTACCGAGATTTTACAAGTTTAATAATTATTTAGATTGTTACAATTGAAAATATAAACTTAAAACAGTTTCTTACGTCTACCATTACGTTTTGTTTGTCTTTTTTAGATGCAAAAGCGTAAAACGATGGATAAAATACCCATCCAGGCCAATTTTTACCCTCTTCCATCCATGGCTTTCCTTCAGGACAAATCGACTCGTTTAACACTCGTGTCGGCTCAATCCAATGGAGTGGCTGGTCTTCATCAAGGTAACTGCCGGAGTAAAATCCTGGTTTTAATCCTTGGGATTGGGTTTTGGGAGGGGAAGGAGATAGGGGAACCTGTAAGCGGCTTTGAAAACCGTCTCGAAACAGGTTTTATGACAGGCACTTGATTTCATTGCAAGAAAGAAATTGAAAACTCTAAAGGGGTAAAAAAATTAAGATCTAAGTAGGTACATCCAGATGTTCCCATAAAGCGAGGGAGGAGGGGAGGGGAAGGGGAGCTTATAACCTTTAAAAAAAAAGCGTTTTCTGTTTTCAAGTAGATGAGCTTATAACTAGGAGTGTTTATGAGCGGGGGCTTATAACTTGGTTTTAAGTTATTGATTGGAAATGTCTCGGATATACATTTTGTGATAAAATTCACAGTGTTTCGACCTCTCCGAGGTCATTTTCAAAAACAGTTTAAAAATAGGGTATGGATTTCAGGGTCTTGAGTCTTAAAGGGCGTGGAGGTTGGCGATGAGCGCTCTACATTTGTGATGCCAACAATTTTTTCCAAAAACTCTAATTCCGTGTTTGAAAATGGAATGGATCAGGGTTATAAAATAATTTCACTTGTGATAAGAAATGAACAGTTATTGTCTTTGTTCGTGCGTCCTTATGCTCTTTGACAAGTGGAAAGCAGGCTTACCAAGAAAGCAGTAATACGAATGTAATTTCGTCTTTACAGGTGAATTTCAAGTTGTTCTTGATCGTCGTTTGTACCAGGATGACAACAGAGGCCTGGGTCAGGGAGTGACAGATAACAAAGTCACTCCAGCTAACTTCCGACTTGTGGTGGAACGATTTAAGACTCCAAATCAAGTGAGTGAAAGCTTTCTCCAGTTGCTAAATAGCGTAATGTAACAGCGAGGCGTTCGTCTGGCTTTATGGTACTTCGTACGGAATTGATTGGCGAAGACTGCTGTTTTTTCTCGATGAGAGGCGATACTTTTTCCACCAGAAAACAAAACTGCTGTTTCGTCATGCGAAAAAATTCTTTGTACGCAACCCGATCTCCTGTTTCCAGTTCCTTTACCAGCTGGTGGTAAATCCCTCTCTCCTCTCGCAAAGCAATCCAGTCCCTCATATAAACTTTTCGGCTTCTCTTACGGGGTTGCTGGGCCTCTTCCTCAAGTAAAAAACTTAACCCAAGGGCGGCTATCGCTCGCTTTCTACGAAAGCCCAACGCGTCCGCCATTTTGTTTGCTGACACAAAAACACGCTGTCGACCAATCACAACGCAGGATTTTCTCAATTAGCTACAACTTGCAACATCGAAATTTGTTGCGTGACAAGTTGAGAGCGAAGGTGGTAATACGGGCAACAACGCTTTTCAACTTGCAACGCAACAATGTTGCGCGACAAGTTGTGCGAAAATGTTGCCCGTATTACTTGACCTTAAGTACAGCTGCTCATCAGACGATTCGCAACGACGATTTTTAGCGCAACACAGCGTTGCAACATTGTTGCGACATTGTTTCGAATAGTTAAAACATTGTTCCAACATTGCAACGCTGTGTTGCGCTAAAAATCGTCGTTGTGAATTGTCCCGTGCATGTAACATCACCGTCAAGCATCAACGACGGCGACGGCTTCGAAAACGACTTTTAAAAATTGAAGTCGTGCTACTTCAAACTTTATTGCACTCTTTCCAGCTCGTTCAATTCGCAAATGTTGGCAATTGTTTTCTGGAATTGAACTCTAAAAGACTGTATTGAAGTTCAGGAAAAGAAAGAGAAAGTCGTTCGTTCTAATTAGTTTTGTAAGGTCCCCATTGAAGGGCGCTCATGGTTAGAAATGGAAAATGTTACAATGTACATTCTTAAAATTCTTTTGTCCCACAGAATGGTAGTCCAGTAGCGTACCCCTCCCTCCTTGGGCACCGAATGTTACACCATTTAAATCATCCGCTGTTTACACTGTTCGCTGCTTCTGAATCCTCCGACTCCGAAAATCTGCTGTCAGATTTCAACGGTCTACAGTCGGAGCTACCTAATGACATCTTCATGGTGACTTTGCGTTCGGTAGCGGATAAACAGCGGCCTCGTCCTAGTGGCGAGGCTCTGTTGGTGCTTCACCGAGAAGGATATGATTGTAATTTTCAATGCAAGTGTCTAGCAAAAACAAGCGCAGGACAGGTAAGTAAATAATTAGAGACCTTTAGATTCTAAGACTAGGACGACTATGAGAAGTGAAGTGAAATTCTTATTGTGGAGTATTGCACGAAATATTTTCGTGTGACGATACAAATGAAATATTTTTAGACCTTGACAGCGTTCTTAATTGAAAAGATTGCGACCAACAGAGAATGAAATAAAACAAGTTTGTCGACTGTCAAACGTCAGACGAAATCGTCTTTCCTTCAGACTTCTAAAGATGTGAGATGCATGGCACCTCTAGTGTTAGGAAATGGTGTTTTTTGGACTGTGTTTCAAACGCAAGGGGAGACTTGAATTCTCGTTGAATATGACCCATTGAAATGAAAGAGCAAATTGTTTTTGTCTTTTACAAGAGAGATTTGGGGAAAGGGTATCTTGATTTTGCTGAGTTTGAAACGTATTGTTCATTAGAAGACTTTTCGTGTTTCTTACTTCGCAGGTCCAGTTGAACCACTTGTTCAAGGACTTGTCCATCGACAGACTCCAGTCCACTTCCCTGACAATGTTGCACGAGTACCAGGAACTAGATCCCAGCTCTCCGCTAAAAGTAGACCCTATGGAATTGTACTCTTACAAAATGAGGCTGAAGTGAAAGTGGAGTTTTTTAGTAACGTTATTAATGTTTCGTGGTACATGAGCAACTCAAAGGATGCATTCGTCCCCAGTTAAAACCGTGGTTTACCGGCCGGCAAGGTTTAAGTAAAAGAAAGGCTGGAACAAGTTTTTAACTATTTTCTCGTAAATAGCAGAGGTAGATTCTAGATTTTGTACCGTAGTCCGTAGATATTATAGCGCACTTAGCTAAACAGACTATTAAAATAATTCATTTTTACACCAATTTTTCATAAGAGCAAATAATAATAAATGAAGCTAACGAAGGAAAAGCAAAAACGACGAGGAGAAGGAAAAAAGCAGTAACAATGACTACAACCACAACAAAAAAGAAGGACAAGAAGACAGTGTAAAAAAATTGTATATTAGAATTTGTTTAGCCACAGACTACTTAGGAGTTCTTGTGAACTCATTGAAACGTGTCCGTGCGTTCCAGATCGAATTGGAATTTGAAAGTGTTGGTTTTTAATTGCAAGTTTTTTCACCGGGGAGAGAACTATACAAATTTTAGACAGGGTATAATAATTACGTCAATATTATATTTCAATATGAACTTGATGGAGAGATGATTTTTCATAAAATATAGGATCTCACAAGCACAAAGATTTCACCTGAAGAAAGATTGATCTCTAACAGAAATTCTCAACACACTAAAGAATAACAATTGTACAAGTAAATCGCAATAGATATAGCTGCCTCTCACGAAGGCTAGATGGGAGTAGCCTCCGTACCAGGCGCCGGTGTTGTGAGGGCGAAGGGGAAATTTCGAGGACGTGCGCGCGCACAAGGCAGGGGAGAAAAGGAGTGGAGGCGTCGTCTTCTCCGCTTCTCTCACCGGCGCCTGCTACACAGGCTGGATGGAAGTGAATCTGTCGTTCACTGGCACCATGCTGATCTTTCGTTGTAAAATTAAAGGAGCGCCCGCGCATAGACTGCAAGCAGTTCCTGAGGATAATCTCGTCCCCAGAGCCTGTGTCCATCTTAGCCGGCGAAGCCTGGGCACAAGATAGTCCTCGATCTCAGGCTTCGCCGACCAAATGCATGGGACAGGAAGACAGGAAGCTAGTATGAACTGTCGCTATCCTCGACGACTGGACTGCTTGCTCATTAACACCACCACTACCAGTCTACGGTGCGGAAGGCATTTTGGTTGAGTGGAGTTCCTCATGTTTCCCCGAGCAGCACATTTTTTGCTTGCAGTTCAGTTTCATTTACTCTCTCGAGGAACGCAGCAGGAAAATAGGGCATTGTTCGTGGTCTAAAAGGGTCAAATCTGTAAAGGTGTACCGCGAATTTGATTCGGCGAAAACAACTAACAACAAATAAATGCAAATTTTGAACTTTGAACAACGCTTCCTACCCATGTAATGCTGGTTTTGACTGAGAACTTCATCACCCTATCTAGCCTGCGTGGCAGGCGCAAAAAGGTGAGGGGAGGGGGAGGGAGAAAAGTGCGAAAGCAAAAGGGTCCCTTACCCTCTCTCCCCATTCTCCCTCCCTTTTCCCCTTCCTCCCTATCCCCTACTTCCCCTACCCCTTTCAACGCCTGTTACTCAGGCCACACCCTATCTTTGGAACCCCATATCATACATGTTGGGCCTACCCATTTTTAGTAGTTTAACTATGTATGAAATTCATTTAAAACATTCTCAGGGAAGAAATAAAACTCTGCAGTTAAGCAACTTACAGTTTTCTCTAACAGTCTGTTATTAGCAAAAAATGGTACCAGCCGGCGCTGAATCGCCTGCGTGCTTCTACATGTATTGCATCCTAAAAATTGGGGAAACTTAGGGCGCGTCTCTTAGAAAAATAAAAAGCCTGATTCTTGAATCCCAGCGGATTTTGTGTTTCACTATTAAAATCCAGCGAAAGGGATCAGTTGAATGTAAGAATCCACCCTCCGAATGGATTCTTTAAATCAAACCTATATCCGAAAAATGTAAGATTATTATAGGGTAAGGATGTGAAAAGGCGCACCTGGCAAGCTTTTTTCTCTTTGAAAGCAGTAGGATTGCTTTCTTCGGCCAGTTCGCCCCAGTACTGCTGTCAAGCTTAAGAATCAATTTTCGGATTTTTAGTTCTTTACGCGTAACGAATAGACCCAAAGAAATTTGAAATCGATTCTCGCAAATATTTGAAGTTTCCGTTGTCGAGTGACATCCTTCATAAGAAATCAAGAGATTATCACTTTGTAATTAACCGATAAACATTTCTCCACCACCGCACGCATGGCACTTAGCCTGCATGGCACCTGTACGAAATTTTATCATTATGAGAGCCAAGAGAGAATGAGCTAGTGAGAGCTTATTATGATGAAAAACAAAATTAAAACAAAACGTGCGGAAATCTCTCGAGTCACTACATTTTTTCGCATTTTCTTACTTCACAAGCAAGTCCCCCGAACATTTAAAATTCCAAAAATAGTAGCTCAGGAAGGAAAAATGGTCAAGCCCTTATTAACTGGAGGAAATAGAATCGCCGAGTTGACGAGTACGCGACACGTGGACCGGTATGTGTGGTCTTCATCGCCCGATTTCGCCCCAGGGTATTTTGATCAGCATGAATGAAAAACATTTTTCTCATCGACTACCTCCTTCAACACCCAGTTTTACGTACGTAAGCGCATCGTTGACCTTTAATTTCTCCCGGAATTTTTATCAGTTTAACAACAGCATAACAAGGTAGGGTAATTAATTTTTTCCATAACATTTTATTGAGGAGTGTTTACCGTCCCGACTATTCCAACAACGAAGACACTCTAAAGAGAGAATGTAAAAGTAGTTGGGATTTTCAATTTGAGAACTGCATAAATTGTGTAAAGAGAATTTTCGTAGGTTGGTTGGCCTCGCCCACATGGGAGCGGCTCGAAACAGCATAGATCATAGAGAGACGATAGGTCTGCATCACCCAATTCTCTATTGATCATATCAAACGTCGATTACATGTGTCATTTCCAGCGTCGATACAAGCTTTTCCCACGGTGCTTTGGCATATCATTATTCACCGAAAAGGCTCCCGTTGAAATACACTTAGTGGAAATTATTGCAATCGATGTCAGATTCTGCAAACCATTGTATAAATAACCTACCTCAAAATTCCGGAAATAAGCCCCTCCAGGAGCCCATAAAATTTGATGGGCTCCTGGCCCCTCGAAATATAAGCCCCCCAAACTCGTAACGCAAAAAACCTTCCGTTAAATCGCCCCTCCAAATATAAGCCCCGGGGGGGCTTGTACTTGGAAATTTCCCTCAAATGCAAAGGTAAGACAATGCAAAAATGGTAAATTTCCTTCCAACTATAAGGCTAGCCCAATCAATTTTGAAACGCAAATTTCCCTCCATAGATAAGCCCCTCCGAATATAAGCCCCTCAAAAAGGGCCTTTGAAAAATATAAGCCCCGGGGCTTATTTTCGGAATTTTACGGTATTCTTATGGACAGGTCTAACGAAGGGAAAACAAAGAGAGACCACGCCCAGAGTCGTTTAAGAAGCCTGTAAAACTCTTGGTTACTGGTCAGTTACCGGTTACTAGTCAGAATGCAGTTTTTTAGGTAAAACACTGTAAAAAGCTCATCTTTTCTTAAACAAATTGTATTCATTTGGTGTTTTATAAGAAATGTTCTGAATTCTTCTCTATAAAATTCTTCCTAAATTATTTGCGGAGTATGTCAGTATCTCCTATTTGCTCGAGCATTTTAGGATCACGTTTTGTAAATTCCTCAAAACAATCGAAATGTTACGGAAGTTTTCATCTAAAACATGATAAATGGTTTCAAGGCTCCTTGAAAACCTGTTTCAAGAGGACGATAAGAAAAGCCTTTGGCCAATGAAAGTCGAAAATAGATATTTAGTTGTAGGTTGCCAGCCTTCTTATCTCTGTGCCCCACCCCTCACCCAGCATGCGAGCACAAGCTCTCCTATTTGGGCGAGTAAAACGAGTCTCGCGAGAACGCGCGAGCGAGCGGCGAAGCCGCGAGGGGCAAATAGGAGAGCTTGGTCGCAGGCTACCCCTCACCTCGCGAGATTGCCGCGGCATACGCGACCTCACCCTCGTACTCAGTGTTCTCGTTCTCTTCACATAGTGATTCAGCAAACAGCAAATGCTAACAGTTTCCGGAGTTCTGCGAAATTCGCTTCAAACATGTTTGTAATTTGACTGCGTTTGGCCTAATATAGCTGACGATTCAGGCCATTTCGGTAATATCAGTTTTTCAGCCGTTTTAATATCGATCATTATCCATTTTGCCGCCATTTTGGTATAAATATTAACGGTACTGTAGTCGAATCAATAATAAAAGCAGAACATTGCCTTTAACATTGGTCTGAACTAGGGAAATAATTATTCGGTAGATTTAAGGGTCATAGAATCAAATTTTTGGTTCTAGAATAGGGAAAATGACACATGGGTAAGGGTTTTCACTGATTTTTTTACGAGTTTGAATGACGAGAAACGAATCAATCCTCTGCATTGTTAGGATTGAGTAGATTAGTGTCATAGAATAAATCTAGAATAAATGACACATGGGTGTATTCACTGACGTTTACGTGTTTGAATGACGAGAAACGCCTCGAGGAGTGCTATATCCAAAAAACGCCTTAATTAGTGAATAATTTTGTGAATTGTGAGCGATTTATGGTTGAAGAGATTCTGTTTCCTCAAGAAATCTCTTTATAATTAAGTTTAATGTAAGTTTTCCAAGCGATGCGTTTAAGGGAAGTCAGTTAAGTTCAATATCATTCAATTTGAGATTATTTGAATGACCGGGGGTACTCCAGGGAATTCTTGCTGGGGATGTGTCGCCCGATTCTCCTATGACCCCATTTTCAGAACTGGCTTCTAAAATCCATACCCATTCTCAGACCTGTCCGATTTAAGAAATTATGTCATAATTACTTAGATTAGAACAGCAGCAAAAAAGACTTCTTAAAAGCCATTTCGAATTGGCATATTTCTCTTTCTTCGCTGCTCATTTGGAATTGAAACAATAAATACTTTCGTACACTCTCGAAGTTCCCTGGAAAACCATACCAGATTTTTGATTCCGGACCAAAATGAGGAAAGTCTATACCCGTTTTCAGACCAGAACGGCGCAAAAACCCTACCCTTTGGGGTGGCACATACCTATATGGTTTATATAGGGGAGTACCCCCCGGGCTTGAATGGCACTTGCCGGCACAGACAGTCCTTCGTTCATTCGAGACGACCCAGTCAAAGGTCAATAAAAAAATGGCACGAAAGGAAATATTGCACCATGTGTTAACCAACATGCTTGATCTTTGATAAAAATTAAATGTTGGAGAAAGCCAGAGACACAGCTCAAATCTATCAACTTCTCAAATTTATATTTTTCAGAGTGTTGATTTTGTAGAGATTTGTGATAATCCCCCGGCTCAGTGGGCGTTTCTTTTGTTGATCGACAACTACTATGAAATAGTGTCACGCCTCTATACACTTGTAATGTGAGCAGAACTTCTAACCACGACGGAGGTGTTTCCTGACAGTGGTAGAAATATCGTTTTGGGTTTATGACGTTCGGATTCACCAATCCATTTTCCTTACTGTACTGAAGGAGCATTATTTTATGTTTTTATCTCCTTCTTGGGTTTATTTGGCGTGTGTACGAATTAAAAGGAAACCTTTTGAAAATTGAAAGAAACATTTCAAGGAATCGCACAGCGGAACACCATATAATCGAGGTGAGGCAACGTTATGCGTTATTTGATGTGTGTTAACAGAAGGTTCCTCATGACTCACTTAAGTATTGTAGAATCAGTTTAAAAGGTTCAAAGGATTTGTGTTTGGTGCTCTAATGGAATAAGCCTTTGCACATGTCAGTCAAGAGCACACTTTGTTCTTTGTTGTTGAGAAATCGTCATTTGTCACCGCTCACATGCATCGCTCATAGCTAGGTTGAAAATGTTTGCATGAAAGACTTTTCGACCATTTTCTCGGAGAATGTCGTAGATGAGCTGGCTTTCCAAGTGTTAAGCGACCAGTCGTTACATCTTTATCCGCTTCAGTGCCGTTGACGCCATTTTTATAATATAACCAAAGAGACAAACGCGCGCGCCGAGTACTTGCGACAAATTTATCTGTTACAAATCCACAGGTGTTTCAGTCAGGAACAGGCACGATAGATTTGGCGATAAATTGTAGCGCTGATCCCTTTATTTAGCCAAGAAATAAAGGAAATCTTTCGAAATAATTTACGTCAAAAATATTACAGTGCGATAAATCGGGCTCGAAATTTCTTGTGGTTTGTGTCAAAAGGTTCCTTTGTGTTCAAACAAACACAAAAGCGGCAACATGATTTGTTTCCCCATGCATGTCGTTTTCACTGTTTATTTCGATCTGTGTCATGCTAACTTCATGCCAGCAATTCGTATATTTTGTCCAACAGAAGAGAACGAAAGTTTCACGCACTACGTTCTGCAGTGTTCGCACGATGAGTTTTTAATTAGATAACCGAGCACAATTGGAGAAACCTTGTTGATATTTGATAAACACGATTCTTGTGCCACATGTCGGCTTGATCAAAGATTCTTGAATTGTGTTTACAAAACTTTTAACTGTTTTCTCTTTGCATGCCCGGAGAGAAAAAAAATCAGCTTCTCTCACCAGATTCGTAACAAGGATTTAATTTCATTTGTTTGTCTTTCTCATTTTACGAGTGAAAATTGGCTTTGCTTTCAAGCACGAATTTATTATTTCCGGTGGTTTTGGAAATTTTGTGAAAAGACTGCGAAGATTTATAAAGATTTCGTGACTTCCATAAACAACGGCAATTTCGATCGGATTGATCGGCAAGTCGGCAGGTGTTGACCGTCTGATATCGGTGTCACTGTTTTTCCTGTTTGACTCTTTCTTTTTTTCTTTTTGTCTGCACGTGTCGTAATGCCCATCATTTGTGGAAGAACAGTGGAGGGAAGCTGCTACTCATTTTTCTGGTTTTATAAACAGCCCACATAGTCCTCTGCTGTTTCTTTAATTTCAGGATACAAAGATGACAACTTTTTGTTTTGAGTCAAAAGCTCTGTTCACTGCCCGTCTTAACAGCGACTTTAGCGAATGAAGTGGTATCTTGCGCAAGATTTCTTTAATATCTCCGTAAATGGCACGTTTTCCAAAAGACAAAACAATCCTTTATTCGGGTACTTTGAGACCTCAAGCAGCGTAGGTGAAATAGCCCTCGGCTAAATCTTATTGCACTTACGTGTCAAATGTTTTTTCTGCAACTGGCATTAAGAAAATTGGTTGTGCTGTTAACTAAAGGCATTTGATAGTTGATAACAATTTGAGAGATACATCGACGGAGGAGAAGTTTTTGTTTTGGACGTATTTTTTCGCTGTTCAAAACGATATGTGTTGACAGTAAGTTTTTGTCATGTCACCAAGCCATTATGTTTCCAATTTGTGTCAAATTTTTTTGCTGTATCTGATTTGCCTTAAAAATACTTTCAGGCATGCTGTCGTTTTTATTTGAAACAATGAACATAAGAAAGTTTGCCACATATGAATATTACAGAAAAAAATGCTTGAAACAGTCACATTCCTAAGATCAAAACCAGCAATTTCAAAATTCAAGTAATTTAATCCGCCCTTCTTGCCGAAAATTAAGGGGATTACAAATTGTCGGTAATTGAACCGTGAACAAACAAGAAAACGGAAATGGGACATTTACATTTTGTTTTAAATATCTTTTTGTAGGTTGTCACTGATCTTTTCCTTTGATCCCTCATTATTTGTTGTTTATACAACGGAAATTTTTCACTTTCCGGTGCAAATGGAACAGAATGATTTAATTTACACCGGTTCGTAGCTAGAGGTTTTGCCAGAAAGACTAGTGAATTGTTTTTATTCTCTCTTTTATCGAACTTTTCATCATAAGAGAGCCACAACAATGGACCTTTTAGCAGTTAAAGTGGTATTGAAAACCACCTCTAAATTTCAAAGCAAACACACTCCTTACTGACCAGATAATCATCAAATCGAAACTCCAGAAAATGGCATATTTGCAATAGTATTGTTTTAAGAACAGGAGCCAATTTAACAATGGAAATATAGATTTTAATCAGAGTAGCACTTGTAAATTAAGTCTATAAGAAGTTATAGACAGTACAAAATTTTGTTGCCAGAATTATTTTTTGCAACATTCCACAATACCTGCTTTACAAATTATCTTCTTGATACAAACATTGAGCTTTTTCTCTAACTTAACACCACAATTTTAAAACAAAAATAAATATTGAGGGGCCATGAGAATGTGCCCTTCAAAACAAACCAGCTGAGACCTTGAAAAACTCTTGAAGGTTTTCACTCTCTGAGGGAGTTGATTTGTGCAGGTCTGCCAAAAAAAAAATTTTTTTCAGAAAGGACATGATAGAAGTGTAATTGTGGACAATATTTTTTTAAGCAGGTGGCTCGAAGAAAAAATCCAAGTTAGTAAAAAAACATTGTTGTGCTTAAGCTCATCAACTTTCCAGTCCTAGCAATATGCAAGGTGTTTGTCACATGAATCTAATAGCCCACCTTTGATAAATCAAAATTCTAACATGATCACTCCCAGGCTTTCTGGTCATATTACTAGATTTGGTTTGGTTTTCTTTGTACTCAAGTCTCCTCTGGGATTTGCAAGACAATGGAGTCATGAAAAAATTGCAACTTTGCCCCTAAAGCCTTGGCGTCATGTTAGAATTTTAACATTATTTTTATATCAAACGTGTGTTATTAATTTTAGTGGACTTAGCTCCCTAAGTCTCTTGTAGCTCAGTGGTAGAGCATCTGGACTAGTCAGTAACCAGAAGGTCATGGGTTTGACTACTCATGGAAGTACTCAGGTTTTTTCTTCCAAGCTGCCTGTGTTACTGAATAAAAAAACATCTTTCTTGTAGAAAGGACACATGTCCGACCAGCTGGTCACCATTTTAGTCGGACAAACCAGAACAGTTATAGGAGATTCATTACGTGGACCTTTTATTTCAAATTTTAATTTTTAAAAATTATTTAACTGTGTAAATATTCAGGGTATAAAATGACAGCCCGAGTATTTGATCTGTCCGGTTATTATGTCTGACTGCAAGTAGGATTAACACTGTTAACTGGCTCAACTTTTCATGTGACCATTCACACGGACGCACTTCAGTGTAAAGCACTGAAACATCGACTGTTTTACTTCAGAATGCCCCTGGGTTTATTTGGTGTATTTAATTGACCTGATCTTGAAGTCGTCATTGATACAAAATATTTAATCTAGTTGGTTTTTCTTTGGTGCAAGATTAAGATAGCAGGAGCCCCAGGAAGGAAACTGGGGCATATAGTCACTGTGTTCAGCGGAGTGGGGCTTTAAAAATCTTATGAGAAAATGGAGTCTATGATTGGAAGAGGCTTATGTTGGTTTTCGTTGAGGTAGCATGTATGTTGTGCATTTAGCTTACTCATTTCACTGAATTATTAAGCACTTTAGAACTGTCATGTGCCTGGTTGTTATTGTTATTATTTGATGTTGTAAGAGGATCGGCTTTTATGTCCCATTATGTTTTTTCAGGTGTAAATTTCATTTTAATTTGTTTTCTTTTATTAAACTGTTTATTGCTATGTGATCATGTTACACTCTGTCTGTTGGGGTACACTGTTTGTGAAGCGGTATTTTTTGGGTGGGTATGTGCCGCCCGGGACTCCAAATTGGCACCCCGTTCTAAAAAAAAAATCCCCTAAAATTGATACCCCGTTCTAGAAATGGGCCAATTTTTTATATCCCGTTCTAGAATTTGCCCTAAAACTGATACCCCGTTCTAGAAATGGGCCAACTTTTTATACTCCGTTCTAGAAAGTTTATAAATTGAAATAGCCCTGGTTTTTTAAAAATATATTTCTTTATTTGTTCGACTTATACATTAAATAAATGCTTCTTCATAATCGGCAACAATTTTAAGCGGAAGATGAAGCGGTGATCCACAATTTTTTATACCCCGTTCTAGAAAACGCCTCTGAAATGGAACCTGAAGATGGGACTAGATAACTTTAGGTCTTTGAGTTGTCTCTGATTGTATGGGCAATAGAGAATCAGTCAAGACTATATAATGAATTTTTATTTTCTGTCAGAAAGAGTGAAAGTCGCAGATTTTTGTGAAACATTTTTGAAGTGAGTCCCACTTATGACATTCCAGAAAATGGAATGAAGTATTATTAATTGCATGGAGAGTATTTGCATAGTGTGTTATTTCTGTTTTTGATAAAACACACTTACTGTTTATTATTCATTACTTTCAGGTGAGCTGATTCCATTCACTGTTCTCTTCAACAAGGGACACACCAACTTGCTATTAATAGACTCTCTAACAACAAGATGGGAGAAATGTACGTGATAATAACAACAAGAAACATTCTATGGATGGTACTATCTGTAGTTGCTGCTTTAGCAGTCGTCACTGGGATCATGACACCTAAGTGGCTATATGGAAGAACAGAACCATTTGTGGGTGACTTGAAGGTTAACTCTACAAAAGGAATCACCTCTGACTTGTTGTACCAACCTTCCATTGGGATTTACAATCGCTGTAGAAAAATTCAAAGATCCATTGGTGGTGTTCCTGAGTTAAACTGTTATAAATACGCCAGTGACTTCATGGACATACCTTCAGCAGCGTGGAGGGCTTGTCTGTTTTTTCTCTGTTTGGGAGCATTTCTTCTAGGAGTCGTTGCATTAATGTCATTAATCGGATTCTGTGTGCAAAGTGTTGGAAGGAAGTCTATTTTCTCACTTGGGGGAGTGATTCAAGCAATGGCAGGTAATTTCACCATTTAGCTTAATGAATGTGCTTGAAGCAAGGTGTTAGCCGGAAGAGTGTCCAACCATCCTACGGACACCCATTTTTGGAAGAAATACAAGAAAAATCTACTTAATCTCTTATAATTTTATGGGAAAACATGCCTTCTGGACAGCCAGGTTTTAATTTCTGGCTAAAAGCCTGGCTTGAGGTCAAAGTTATAGCAATTTTAAACCCCCACCTCCATATAGAGTGGAACTGGTGTCTAAAATCCTGCCATGTACAAAAGTCCTTGGGACAGTAATGCAGTATTCAGCATAATGTTCTGTAATTTCTGGGTTCCCTGTCATAAAATTTTCAGTTTATCCTTTTGGAAATTTTCTTGTGGTTCTTCCTTCCCCACCCTATACAAAGTTAAAACTAAGCAAAAATTATGGATGCACACATTCATTGTTGTTTGTGGGGTAAGGGGGAGGTTGGGCATGTGTGAATTAATTGAAAAAGGCCCCATTGGATGCGTATAGTAAAAGTGTCTTAAGACTTCAGTCCATGATTATAGGCTCAGGTGGACAAAACTGGGAAAAAATTGACCGTTGAATGCACAGAATTCATAAAAAACTGCTAACTAGTCAGTGGGGGTGTATAAAGGCTATAGAAATATAAGGATATGTATGATTTCATAAATCATTATAACTTGTTTGAAAAAAAAGAACGCTAGAAATTTTGACTCCATAAGGTTATTCACCACGTACTGTGAAGGCACCTTCCTGCCATCAAACCCAAATCAAAATTCAGAAGCAGCGAATCTGAATAATTGAAACTAAGTGGTCATAACAGGCCGGCCAGTTGCATGATGGCGTCATTTTACTACTACGACCAGAATCCTTTTTGTTTTTCCTTTCATATTCTAATTTGGTATTCCTAGTGAGGTTTCGAAAAAAACAAAAGCCCTAATTAGCACAAGAAAGCAAAAGTCTGAAGGATCCTGGTCATAGTAGTAAAATGACGTCGTCGTGCAAATGGCCTATTGCAATCATTCAAGATTTTAATATTATTGTAATGCTGGCCCTTATCATACACTTCGTGCCTTTGTAAAGATGCAGTGGACTATATTATTCGATTTTTTACTGCTATCATGTGCTTGAATTCTGCCTATCATAAAAAAAAATCATTAGTTTGTTTTACTTCTGTTTCTGCAGCACTCTTTCTCGTCATTGGACTCATTCTTTATCCAGCTGGTTGGGGCAGTAAAATAATTGATGAATTGTGCACTCGACCAATTATCCAGAAACCTGGAGCATTTGTGATCAATGATTGCTCACTTGGATGGGCTTTTTTTGTGGTGCTTGGAGGGACACTGTTGTCATTTCTGTGTTCCTTGTTATCATCTCAAGCAGAGAAGTCCACATCAAGTGATGATGTTCAGGACCAGATATCTGATGGAAGGACAGTGATCTGTTTAATTTAGAGCAACTACATACTGTTAACATGGCATGGCAAGAGACCTTCAGGACTTGCTAAGCTGGTTAAGTCCGGCTCATTCAAATAACTAGATAGATGAACATAGGTAATCATGGGCAGTCAGGGCTAGGGAGTCACTGGAAGCTTACAAGAGTAATAAGTCTAAAAATAGCCACCAATCTGCACCTTAAGTCATGCACCAAGTTAAAACAGGGGCAGATTCCCCCATTCCCCTTTCTATGCCAGATGCCCTTAATCCCCTATGGTGTAAATTTTTTTTCTGAGCAGAACCCCCCTCTCCCCACCCTGCACCTGTTCTGCCCCTGGTCTAGGACAAGCTTCCTTAATGCATGGTAGGGATTTGTTTTACCGCTGCATTGGTGCAAGTGGTTTGTCCCAGGTGTTTTTATGGGAAATTAATTCAACAATATTTCAATGCACCACATTATCAGGTGAAGTTATACAGAAATGTTGCTTTAATCATGTGCTGATAAAGGTTTTAGTATTGTTATTATTGTTATTTCAGTATTTATATGCTGTTTGGTGAAGGTCAAGCAGTTACTGAACCATTATTATTTTTAAGTTCATTTTACATTAAATAAATTAATGGAGAGAAAAAAGGATTTTTTAATTAACAAAGTTTTTTCGAATTGAGTTATTTAATGTTGAAAACAGTGAAGACTGATGGGGGCATTAGGGGTGAATTTTGTAGCTCTTGGATTTGTACATGATGTTGATATAAACTTGTTCAGTTTTAGAAACTTAATTGCCTACCATTTTGAGTTTATTAGCTTAGCTGGGTCAGTATTTTTTTATGATCACTTGCCTGATGAGCAGCTCAGCCCTGCCAGACAAGCGGTTGAAGACTAGTGTTCAGCAACTCTACTAAGCTAGAAAAATGTAAGGGCAGCTTGTCCAAAGCCATGGCAGTTACATTACTAAAGGGCTAGGGTTGAGGATTTTTCCTTGTCACTTTGATAATTTAATCAGTAGCAAATTAAAATTATAAAGGAAAATAGAGCCAAGAGAATTGCCTTGCTGCTCAATGTCACTAAGTGCCCTTCTAAATGTGCCCATGAGTCAGAATGTAAATTGAAAGTCTAGTCAAGATTTAAATGATTCAAAATTTTGTAAAATATAGTTAAAATGTTATTGCAAATTTAAGGAAAATGTACATATTTTTTTTGTGGTTTTTTGTTTTATTTCAGTGGCGGATCCAGACTTTCAGATAAGGGGGGGGGGTCTTACAAATAATTTTTTTTGCCCCCTTGTACCTCACTGTGGTCCAGAAATAAGAGGGGGCATGCTGGGGCCCCCCGGGCCCCTCCCCTGGATTCACCACTGTATTGCTTTTTCAGGGGAGGTGGTGTTTGTCGTTTCAAAGTTGAAGTTAGTTTATTTGAACTTAATCAGTGGAAAACCGATGCCCTTTGTATTTTAAGTAGTGTTGTGTACTGCGTGAGATGTACATAGAATAAATATTTGTAGTTTCTATCAAATGGTAATAATATTTAGAGTTAAGTCACAATTGTTATGTGATAATGACCAATCAGTATTTAATTAAGAAATCAATATTATTGTTTTGGAAAATGTATTTGTCTTTATCAAACAATTTTTTTTTCAGTTGGCTGGTTTGGTCACAAATATTTCAGAAAAAGTTTTACGTTCATTAATTTTGTGATCATTGGTATAGTTTGTTGACTAGATTTTGTCTCTTTTTTGCTATTTTTACATAAACTTTGGACATGTAAAGATAAAGATTGTGCAAGAAACGATGTCACAAAGTTAGGTTTTAATAAAAGATCTTTGTCTATGTTGCTTATATTCATATATGATGACCGATGACGCCACTTTGTTACTGGGTGTAACCTAACTCCTCAAAATTCTTTGTCTGCATCAACATCATTTAACAGCGGTTTACGGTCAATTTGCTCGAGAGTCAAGTCCCTCATAAGCGACCACCTTTCCTAAACACATTAATTCCCCACTCAATCAAATTGCTTCGGAACCTCTCCGGGAACGCGTTTTGGGAAGGCACTTCGAACATTTTGCATTGTTTTCACTGCGCTGCTCAGAGTGACTGCAGTAAATTTTCTCTTAAAAAAGTAAGCTTATTTAGAAGTCAGAAAAGACCCCCCGTGGTTTACAATAAAAATATTTAGGAATGAGCAAAGAAATTAATTGTGCATTAATAATTAAGCTTAACCTTATCTGTATTCAGTCACGGCCGGAAAGGAAAATATTCCTCATTAAGTTTGATGTGAAAAGACTAGCATAACTCACCTTTTCAAATGTGAGCTTTCCAAAACTCCTTTTCATGCACGGGGACGGCTCCCGATAACCTAACATCAGGCCCAATTTTAGTGGTTCTCATACATTCTCTCGCTTTGCCCGTCAGAATGTTATTTACAAAGCGAAACGAAAATGAGCCTGATCTCAGGTTAGCTTCTGATGACTGATGGTCCTGATGGTCCCTAACATTAGGGCCATTTATACGAGGAAAATAAGACGCGAACTTTCTGTATAAACGGCACATTTCGTCTAAAATAAGACGCGGCTTAGCTAAGACGCGTCTTATTAGATAAGACATGCTCGTATAAATGGTACAGTTCGCGTCTTATAAATATGTTAGACGAAAACGAAAGGAGGACCCGTGTGACCGATTGGCCCCTGGAACGAGGTCGTACTCCACACAAAGGCGACCACAAAAAAAATGGCGGGAAAGACGTCAGACCTTAGACCGGCTACCCGAGGTGAAATTATTTCCGACGAACAGTTTTTGCTGCTTTACGATACCCTTGGTTCAAATAATTCAGATTTTCCCTATGGGAACTACCAACTGTTTTCCCTTTTTTCTACGAACTCCGCGCGGAGTGCAAAGGAGAGATTAAACTTGCAAGTCGTGCAAGTGGTTTGTAATGTGTTTGCACGTCTATGATTGGTTACTTGTTGTCGTTGTTGAATCTAACCCCTCTGTACACTTTTGTGTCCAAGAAAGGGATCTCTTTAAATGAAGGATGATCATCGCAGTCGTACGCAACTTTGTGCAGTTGCGAAAAGAAAGCCTGAAAAAAATTCAGGCTTGTACCACGGGATTCGAACCCTTAACCTCTGCGATACCGGTGCAGCGCTCTGTCAATTTAGCTGTTGCTGTCATCTCAGCCATTAATTTTATAGAAGAGTGACAGTTATTTGCCTTTTCCACAAAGCTCTCTCTTTTGTTTACTTGTCTAGACTTGTGTTCCATAGGCTCATTACCCTCGGTGCCAGAGACTTTTCATGCGCGGCTTCCGGTTTCGGTAAAGTCTCAGTATAGGGACCCAAGCAAACTCTGTTTTCTATTCTGGCCATGAAAATGTCCCCGGCGGGAGGGCGTCTCTCTTCGTTCAGTGTTCGTTGTGGTACGTAGTGCTTACGTATCGCCGGCAACGTAGCTCTGCGAATAAAGTACAACCAAACATGTTTTCAAACACTTTATTTTTCGTGTTATATTATTTAATACTTTCTGGAAATTTTTAAGGCTCGGAAATTCGGCATGGGATTTTTTGGGGGTCAATTTTGATCCAGGAACTTTTTTGGGTTTTATTGAAAGCCTTAGGGATTGTCTTGTGTTTTGATTTTTGCCCCCATTAGAACATCCCCGTCACCCCGGGCCGGTCACTTGAAATCCGGGCCGGATACCCCCGCGGGAAATGTCCAGCAATAGCAACGGCCATCTTTGTTCCCATGGCTGTTCCATCCACGGGTCTGTAGGTAGTTGTTACCGCAAAATTGGAACGAGTTTTCTGTTAATATAAGAAAGAGTATTTCTCTTAGATACTTGGTAGTATATAGGGCTTTCTCCCCATAAAAATATTCGTGTGCGTGACATACGGTAGTCTCCGTCGACCTCGCAGCCGTTTTTTGGATGTCACGCAACGCTCCCCCAGAAGAACTTTGGTGGAGCGTTGCGTGACATCCAAAAAAGGGCTGCGAAGGAGACTAGACATACGGTGGCTAACCCCACTTTGTTTGGATAACTACCTTTGTCAGTTGTGTGTTGCCCGTTGCCAATTTTACCAAAGTAAGGGAGGAGGAGGAGGGAGAAATTGCCGCAAAAAGTAGGGAGGAGGGAGAAATTGGCCATAAAAGTAGGGACTGCAGGCCCGGACTGCAGAGGAGTATTTGCGACGGCGTGGAAGGTCTATGCATGCTCCTCAAACAGGCAGGCCGCTTTCCCGCTAGTTCTTTGGTAGTTAACGCCCTCAAAAGTAGACTCTACAATCCGCTGATCTTCAGGGTTTCATATGTACCGTAGGGGCGGACGTCGGGGTTGATAGCGGTTCAGGGAGGACCGGTCCCCACCCCCAAAGTATAGTAGATTTGACACTCATCCAAGATGGCCGCCTGTAACGCAAAAAGTCTTCGAACTCTGGACCTCGACAATCTTACGGAAAACAGGTGTTAACCGTGACGGTTAACAGTATATAAACGAAGAGCTATTCATGAGCAATAGTAAACCTGTGGTGGTAAACTCGTACTCGTCTTCGAATCATTATGTCTTTCAACTTCAACAAATTATCAGTCACTTCTGTTGACTGCAAAGGAAAGCGCGTTTTGATGCGGTAAGCCATACTTTTAGTTGATGTCTACTGCAGCCCATTGTCGGAAACTGGATTAGTCAGCTAAGTCATTTTTGATTCTCTCGTGACTGGCTTGCAATAGTTTGTCATGTGACCAACTTTCCTGTAAACACTAAAACAGGTAGCTTTGGGAAAATGATGTTAGCAAGAACTGAAAGAGCATATTCAAATTAGGTAACCTGTGAATTTGCAGCCATATATCTCACTAGTAGTGATTGCAATGGCCGCCAAAAATGACAAGGATTTGTGTGGGAAAAGCAACTGTTACCACCCATGCCAGTCACGGTTGAGTGGTTTTCCATACATTACAAATCCATGTAAGTTTTACCGTCAAACCGGGAAAAACGTGAACACCAGAAACATTTCTGGATTGTTATTGTGTTGCAAGAAAAAAGCCAGTCAGGCATGAGAAAACTAAACCACAAGCAAGACCGTTAATTAATTTGTGGTTTTGTGGCTAGTTTGCGTGTCCTTGCAGTGATTGGTCAGAACACAATGAACATTCCTGAGATATTACAAGTGTTCACGGTTTTCCTGGGCACGCTGAAAAATGTTCAAATATGTTGTGGTAAAACATTTCCTTAAGCATTATGGGGCTCAAATTTTCTTTTGCTTGTAACAACAGTACAATATTTATATTGTGCCCTGTAATGTGTTTACAAAGGAAATATTTAACAACAGTTTGAAAATGTTAAAATTTATAAGGATTTGTAAGAGGGTCGTACAGGCTATTTTCGTGATACGTACTGTGTACCTGTTTTTATTTTTTCTTGAATGGTGAATTTATTATTCGTGTTCTGTGACCAAATGGTTGTCCGTGCCCCAAGAAAAGCTTGAATTATTATCAATATTTGTGATATTATTTCTTATTTCCCCCTGATTTTCAGTTTTGAGACCTCTGGGAGATAAATAAAGAAAATGAAAGCATCAAATGAGAATGATGAATTGCGGTCTTGCTTTTTCTTTTCGCCACTTTCAAGCTGTTTTTCAGGCACTCTTTTAGCACTTTTTTCTTTGCGTAAGAACAAGATAAAAAACGGTAGTTTAGATGCTGATTATGTGACTTGAAAACTGAAATGAAGGTCTGTGATTCGTGATTAGTTACCATTTTGGTCCATGAACTATGCCAGAGAGCCCCCGTGTATGACCCTCTGGTAATGAAAACCACTCAACCATGACTGGACAGCAAGAGTTATTTTTTCCAATACAAATCCTTCTAATTTTTTGGCAGCCACTGCAATCGCTCTGGATCATTGGATACACCAATATAAGGCGTCATCAAACAGTGCTATGGTTGTAGTTACCACTGAAAAGAACAGAAGGCTCAGTTGCATTTGAAGTGATTGGTACTAATTTTGATAGCCCGGTAAAATACCTCAAGTCTTTGTAAAAAAATGGAAAAGCCTATCTTTTCTTGTTAACATGCAGTTTTAGAGCCTTGTAATTAAGTTGATTTTGTGAGAGCGCGATATATTAAATTTATGTTTGATTGTTATGTTGCTCTCCTTTGGGTGAGCCGATACCGTTAATTAACATTCTGGACGTGAACTTTTAAGAAGTGTGGGTCATTTAATCTCTTCACCATAGCAAGTGGCAGTTTTGGGTTCACTTGAGATATTGGTAATATCTAATGCCATTTGAAAATGTGAAATACTTTTTAGAAATCTTACAGATATTGTTGGACTATTTCTTGTTTGCAGTGTTGACTTTAATGTACCACTCAACAAGGGGAAAAAGGTTGCAAACAACCAAAGGTATAAAATCTTGTAAGAAAGTGCAGATGTGCATTGAGTTGTGTACCAGGGTTTGAAGGGTACTCCGGATTTCAAGTGACAGGGATGATCAAAGGACTTTTTTGGGTTTGAAATTTTCAATTTTGGGATTTTTTCAGGAAGGAAAATTTTGGCAAGTTATTTTTTGGGTAGCTTGATTTAAGTGAGGATTTTTTGGGGTATTCAAAACTAATGTTTGTATTTTTCGTGTTATATCATTTTACACTTTCTGGAAATTTTTATGGCTTGGAAATTCAGCTTGGGATATTTTTGGTGTTAAATTTTGGTTCAGGGATTTTTTTGGGTTTTGTTGGAAGCCCCAGGGATTTTTGGGTAACTTTTAATGCGTACTTGTACTTGCCAATTGGGCAAGGGTCTAGACAACTCATCCTCTAATTCATTATTTTTTTTTTGAGCCCTGCCCTTACCCCTCAAAATAGTTCTTGGATTGGCAAACTCTCAAAAAACCCTGTGTTTATTCCATTCTTAAGGAATCATAATTATTAATTAAGTAATTTCTTAAATCACTCATGGGAATGTATTAATTTTTTTTATAAATAATATTTTATTTTTCTTCGTTGTTCATCTTTTTTCAAATAACTCAAAAACTCTGACTGCTGGTATGCAAATGGCTAGAGGGTATTACATCTGCCATTTCTGTCAGAATAATTTGTTAATTATTACAATTTTTTTTAGCTAATTTCAATTAGTGTTAGCTTTATGTTTGTAGAGCCCTTTGTAGAATGAAGTCAGAAATTTATTAATAACACTGTCTGGCTTGTACACTATTGAAGAGTGAAAATATGAAATAATTTACAACATTAGTCTGCATATTCTAATGTTGAAGGATTGTAGCTGCCCTGCAGAGTATCCTTTATTGCCTGGATAGTGGTGCTCAGAGTGTGGTATTGATGAGCCATATGGGCCGGCCTGGTGGCAAAAGAGTCGAGGAATATTCATTGGCCCCTGTTGCTGATGAACTAAAGAAATTATTACAAAGGTGTGATCCAAATTTTTGACTTAGTTATTTGCATGAATGATCTCTTTGATTTTTAACTTTTAAACTTACTTATAATAATTTAATGTAACTTTTATTTTTTATGTATGCAGGGATGTGACATTTCTTCCTGACTGTGTTGGCCCTGAAGTAGAGGAAGCATGTAAAAACCCAAGCTCCGGTATGCAATAACTTAGAAGAGGGTGGGGCAATTTTAAAGAACACTGAGCAGTAAATATAGCTACTGAAGGTAAAAAAAACTGGTTGACAGTTGATGAGGGTGTTGCCTAACAGTTGCATTAGCAGATAGAGTGCCAGTCTCTCTCAGTAATGGTGGACCCTTGTTCCCTGTGATCGTAATAATGAAGAGGTTTGTAGAGAATGGCCCTAGGTGACTCCTGATCTTATGCCAAATTCTCCATTTGATTTGCACGGATGCACAAGGAGATGGGAAGGAAAGAATCTTTGAGTTAATCAAAAATCTTTTGGGGAATAAATCCAGACAACCCCTTTACTGTGCATACTGTATAACCCTTTAAGCTCCAATAGTGACCCACATCCAATTTCTCCCAACAGTCAACACTCCCTGATCAAACAGACAGGTCATGAGAATTAATGAAATGATCACTAAAGATGAAATGTTGTGATGTTAGAACAAATTCTCTCAAGCAGTACCATAAGGAATGTATGAAGAACAGTGTGGAGAAGATGCATATTGATGTTGGGGCTTCATTTTTAACCATTTAAAACTTTGCATTCCTTTTATTAAATTTTATCATGAAGGCTCAGTGATCTTGCTGGAAAACCTACGTTTCCACATTGAGGAGGAAGGCAAAGGTGTTGATAGTGAAGGAAACAAGGTACTTAACTCAGCTCAGATCAAAGCAATGCACTCCGAGGTGCTTCTTTAACAGACACTGTTGTGAGTGTGTACTGCTAATCCTTTTTTAAGCCATCCTATGCATAAACAGTATTTTCAAGGTTTTCAAGAATAGAAAATTATAGCTGTTAGTACAATAGCCATTGGGACGAGAAGTCTTGGCTGGATGGAGGAGCATGCCATGGTTTTGGAAGCCATTATCCTGACGGGTAGGCAACCACATGAGAAATTACAGTGTTTGTGTGAGAATCTAATGTTGAATACTTTCCGTAAAATGGCTGTTCTAAAGAAATATGAATTGTAACTATAGCTTCACTCCTAAGGATTCTAAACTAAAAATACTGAGGGCATTTAACCTATGCTAGGACTCTTTTTTAACTTTTCCATACATTTGTCTGTAAAAATTTTATACCTCCTGACTAAAATTTCCTGGGAAGAATTGCAGACAAATTTATGGAAAAAGGAAGAAAGTGCCTGGAGAAATTTAAGCACAGACATGGCCCCCAAAATTTGTTAGTAGAATCCTTTACTGTGTGTAGCTTTAGTTTACGATTCCTACTTTCTTCAGAACAGCTGTTCTACAAAACACAACAAGATGGCTTCCTAAACCCGTGATAAGGTCTATTTGATTTGAATATTTAGAATAGATCCTTCCATGGTTTTTTCAATTTTTCACTTGGACCATTTAGGGAAAATCTCTCGACACCAATAGAAAGGCTAGAGCACCTTAAAATTAGTAAAATTGCCAAATTTGAAAGTGATACATCTTATTATAATGAGCAAAGATATAGCTCTGCAAAGTTAAGAAAATTTACAAAGTTGTTTGGTGGGGGAGCAAGTTTGTGCCCCACACCATACAAACGTCTGCAAAATTTGGTGACTTATACTACTACATGAGAAATTTCTGCAATTTGATTGGCTTAGAGCAGTGGTATTTCAGCTTAATTTGAAATACCTACATGTGAAAATTACAACCTTTTTCGGGTAGTCAAGTATAAACAAATAATAGCATGATTTGTACATGATATTTGGCATAAATACCACTCGTGATATTTCAAAATTGTCTCAAATTTCACTCACCTAACGGCTCGTGAAATTACGTAAAATAATTTTGAAATATCACTCATGGTATTTATCCCAAATATCACTACTAATCATGCTATTACCTATACTAAGTAGTGATATCTTCATTAGTTTTCAACAAATCACTTTCAAACTTAATTAGCAATTTTACTAATTTCAAGACATTCTTTCCAGTGGTGTCGACGGATTTTCCCTAACCTGTCTTTATCAAAAAAACGTTGGAGGGTTTATTACAGTGTAACTGGGAAAACCGTGAACACTTGAAATATCTCAGGAATGTTTATTGTGTTATGACCAATCACAGCAGTGATCAGGACGTATGAACTAGCCACAAAACCACAAACTAATTAATGTTCTTGCGTGCGGTTCAGTTTTGTCACGCCTGATAGGCTTTTTTCTTGCAACACAATAAGATTCCAGAAATATTTCTGGTGTTCATGGTTTTCCCAGGATATTTGACTGTTATTAACTAGAACTAGCCATAGTTTCTTGGTTGTTTGACAGGTTACAGCCAGCAAAGAGGCAGTGAAAGCATTCTGTGATTCTTTAGCAAAGTTAGGAGACATTTATGTTAATGATGCGTTTGGCACTGCTCATCGAGCTCACAGGTAAATCTATATAAACAATAATGTCAATAATATGACTGCCAAGGAAAATGACTTTTGCCTGTCTCTTTTGTGGAAGGAACTGGAACCCGTTAGAGCTGTAAGGGACCTTAGTGTGATGCTGGACTCTAATTTAACATTTAATGAACATATTGTTTCTACACCATGTCTTCATGTATGTCTCTATTAGATTAAAGGCTGAATTAATCACTGATAAAAGTGCTTTGATTATTATCATAAACGCATTAGTTTTTAGTAAGCTATTTTATTGCTCCTCGGTTGTGGCCACCCCTTCAGATGAATCTAATCTGGACAAACTCCAAGCAGTACAGAATTTCGCCTGTAGATTTGGGAGTGGGGCTGGAAAATTTGGTCATATACTCCCTTGTTATTGGCTTGTGCTGGCTCCCAGTTAAGCAACAAGTTAGTTTACTTTCAACTTGCTGTTTTTAGTAGTTAAGTGCATGATGGCGATGCTCCAGTGTACTTCACATCTGAGCTCGTAAAAAGATCGGCTATCTTGACAGGGACAATCAGGAACTCTAAATATTGTTAAACATACCACAATTCCGTACTGCTAGTGGCCAAAGGTCCTTTGAATATAGAGAGATCACATTATGGAATGAGTTACAGCCAGCACTCAAGTTGTGAATTGTAAATAATATTTTCTTTCCTTGCGTTTAATGTATATATATATTTTCTATATAGTTTTTATGTAGTGTCAGCTCAAAGATATTAGCTTGTTAGCTACTCTAAAATTCGAGTATAAATAAAGTTTTATGTTATGTATGTTATGTTAAGCTAAGCAAATCAGTGACTAGTTTCAAGCGTCAACTTATGTGACTACTTCTGGGCGACTCCTTTAGTTAGTTAACAATTAAATTATTACTGGTAGCGTTGACTTTGAAAAGGCGCCCTGTGTAGTACGAGCCAATGAAATATGTAACTAAGTATGTATGTATATTACACGCTCCGGACGCGCTGGCATGTTTGTGTGTTATACTGCTGTGTGCTGTAGTACTAAGTTTGTAGTTGCAGGTACACAAAATCCTATGGTCATTTATTGTTTTATAAAATCTTTTTATTACCAAAAATGATATATTTTTTATTTCTTCTTGAAAGTTGATTTTAGCCTTAATTTGTATCATGGAAGTGTTAATTTAATTTGTACAGTATTCCTTCTTAGTGGCCAAATTAAATTACAACATATGCATTGTTTTTGTAGCTCTATGGTGGGTGTTAATTTGCCTAAGAGGGCTGCAGGATTTTTGGTGCAAAGAGAGCTGCTCTATTTCTCAAAAGCAATGGAAAGACCTGACAGACCTTATTTGTTTATCCTAGGAGGGTTGGTATATTATTATTTTTACCTATATACTGCTTGCAGTCCGCCTTTTCTCTTATCAAATCTGTCTATTTCTCATCCCAGCCAGTACGATAAGTAGCGACTAGGACAAGACTAGAAAAGATGACCTGTGAACTCTTTCATAGTAAACCCCCCCTCATCAGCCCAAAAACTGAGTAGCTGATTGGTCAATTTTACAGCTGTGGACAGATCATTGACAGGTCTGTGGGTATAAGCCTGGTGTGAGATAGCAAGGGATAAAAATAGTCGCACAAACAGGTCCGCCGTAACTATGAACACTGACGAACCAAAATGGTAATTGCGTAAGGATATCTTCGTTAAGAAGAATGGAACTTGAAACTGCTGAAAATTTCCTTGATGGAAAGGAAGTCGTGGCAATCAAAGTTGTTCTTCTGGTAGTGCTAACTGTATTCGCCATAGGTTTCTGATTACTTTAGTTTCTTACAGTAAAGCTTTGGGTAAGAATACCTTTTCATATAGGAGATAGTCTGTCAGTGCTCTTCCACTATTTGTGCATCAACTTTCACAAATGTGTTAGCGTAGCATTTAAAGGTTAAATTTGACCAGCACTTTGTGCAGTGAGTTCTAAGGTCACTATTGACTTCAAACTTGGAGAGATAAAACTAGACTCCTCTGAGGCTTATTTGCTGAAGTTAGGGAAAAATCTGTCGTGGGATTTCGAAGTTTTTACATTTTTTGTAAAACTTTGGTTTTAAATATATGCCGATATCTCATACATTTTTATACCTACAAGAAAATAGATTAATACCATTTTCTTAAAAGTTTGACCATTCTTTATTAGGAAGGCCAAAAATCATAGAAATTGGTCAAATTGTGTCTGCCGTAAAACGTGATTAAAAAATATAACCATCACTTTAGTATATAAATAAGTTCAGGTCATGCAATCACCTTAAGAAAACATAATCTTGCCAGCAGATTTTTTAAAGAGGGGGGCTGTGAGTATGACAGGTATGAGAATCAGTCAGTTGGCTATTAGTTGTGCATAAAACAATAATAATTGTTTTATGCACATTATTTACATTTATTCATTACCTTTGGTGTGAAAAAGGGATATAAAGACCTGGGTATCCTAGACTGTCTACAGTCCCCTATTCTTCGGTAAGATTCAGTCAAGTAGAGTGCTTACCCTTAGGGTGACAAGGGACAGTTCACCCACCGCCTCAGTACATTTGGAACCAAGATGGTTGCCCATAAAAGCGCTTTAGTGGACAATCTTACAGAAAAATAGTGGACTATGAACATTGGATGGGTAATCAGACAAGTTTGAAAACTTCCCAAAGGCGAGGGGGCTACAACTCCCTCAATCCTTCCCCTGGATTCACCCATGTGTAGGTAAAATATAATGATGTTGAGTGTAATATAAGAGAATTCAAAGCCAAGTTTATTATGGTTATGATATGTTTCTGAGTGCAATCCTCTAGGACTTTACACTTCTTATGTCCATTTTTTTGTCCTAGATATTGGACTCTACAGCTTACTTTATCCTTCAAATATGCATTATTTTTATTACTATTATTATTATTATTATTATTATTATTATTTGACAAAAAATAAGCAGCAACATTATATAATCAAGAAAATGATAAGTATAGCCATTAGAGCAACATGTTACATATTTTGTTGTAGAAATAGGAATTGGGATAGCCCAGACTTAATGCAATTTTGATTTCTTTTCTTTTCTTTTTTCTTTCTTTCTTCTCTTTTTGAATAATCTTATCTCAAGCAGCATTTGTAAATTGCCTATACGAAGTGAGATTTACAATTGTACATTAAAAACCACAAATAAAGTTTCAATTATTATTATTCTTATTATTATCTCTTTATTAATAATAATGTTATTTATTATTAAATAATAAATACCAGGTTTCCTTTGTGTTTGACATTATCTTAAATATTGGCATCTGTGTGCTTAATCACTGTAGGTCCAAAGTGTCTGATAAAATTGTGCTTATTGAGAATTTACTGGCTAAAGTGAATGACATGATTATTTGTGGTGGAATGGCTTACACATTTGTCAAAGTTCTTCATAATATGGAAGTGAGTTGTAGTTTTGACCTTAAACCTCTTAGAAAGGTCTACTGAGATAGGTTAATGCATTATTATCTAATGGAATACACTTATCCATGCAAACAGCATTTATGTTAAACACTTTGAGACACTTTTAAACATATATTAAATTTTGATACTGAGGGATTCCTGGTGCAGAAGCACTTTCTAATCAGTAATTGGTTTTAAGTAGGATGAGCATGATCATCCAGGTGATCATAACAGTGCCGTAGCCAGACCAAACGGCCAACTGAGGCAGGCGGGAGTTGCTAGGGGGGTTCGGGGGCATGCCCCCCCCATCACCAGAGAAATTTTGAACTTTAGTCTCTCGGAAATGCGATTTGCAGCGTTTTCTGGGCCTTTCGCTAACTTTTTTTCGAGTTAATTTAAGTGGAATTTAAAAAGCAATAATCAGAAACAAGCTACATAATCTGGGTGACCGTTAACCTCGCCAATGGTTTTGATCAGTATTTGTTCAAAAAAAATTTGAGTTAACGTACGTAGCCCCTTGAGATCGATGATATGGTAATTTTTTCATAGTATATTGACTGAATTGCTGAATTCTTTGTAATATCATGATGCGTTAAAAATATCCGATGATCGCTTATGTAAAATAAAAATGATCGGCGAAATTCGTCAAAATTTTAGCGAGGCGAGTGCCTCGTTTGGCCTCATACTAGCTACGGCGCTGCATAACCCTGGATAGGACAGTTGTTGACAGTGACTGATGTTTCGACAATCTGTGCGGTAGTCATCTTCAGAGTCAAAGTGAGTTGTATCACATCAGTTGATAGTATTAAACTCTGGTTATTGACCTGATTGATCAATTAAGTCACAAATATGTTATTGGTCATCTGTCAGTTAAGCTGTGATGTTATTGGCTATGAAGACTCGTAATGTCATTGGGGTGTTTCGATCTGTCTATTGTCACAGTTAAACAGTCGATTATTGTTAGTCAATAACATGCTCACCCTACTCATGAATTGACTTCTGGGTTCAAACCCTTTTATAATTGGCTTTAAATAACTAGTTTTGGAGGCATTCATACTTACAGTGTCACGTAACTGTACCCTTATTGGTGACTGGCTACAGTAATTCTTTTTCAGATTGGAAAGTCACTCTTTGACGAAGAAGGATCAAAACTTATCCATAAGATTTGTGATAAAGCCAAAGAAAAGGGAGTGAATCTCCATTTCCCAATAGATTTTGTTGCGACTAGTAAATTTGCTGAGGATACTGAGGTGAATGGTTATTGTTGTTTAGCGTAGTGTTGAATAGCCAAACTTGGTAATGGCCAGTATAAGAACATCCTAGGGATTGAACTGCATGTATCGCTGTGCAGTGTTACATATTAACTCCAACTCAAACAAAGAATATCCATTGCCCGCAGTTAGAAATAGCTAGTTGAGGCTAGCAGTGGTTACACGTATTTTATATAAATTGTGTATAATATAAAAAATATATATATATCTAGCAGACGTTTTGAAAACCAACCTAACGAAATTTGCCGTCATTTGAGTGAAAAGGCATCAAAAGGCAGGCTTTTTGGGCGTGATAAGCTACAAAATCACACCTAGTTTTTATAATGGGTACTTTGGAGATGGTTTTCGGCTGAGAAAAAAAAGAAACAGTTAGACGCAATTGGTCCATTTGGCGGTAACGTTTTCAAAAATCCGGCTAGAGATATATAAAGCTCACAAGCAAGACTAGCACTAGCGAGAGAAAAGGCCGCTTGCTAGTACCTTGAGGCTAACGGCTTAGTGGAGGGTCAACTGTATAAGAAGCCGAGTTTTCAAGAATTTTTCGTTGTAAAGTTAGGTAAATCAATGTCATCATTCTCATCTGAATTTTTTTTGTGGTGATTCTATGTACACTGTACCTGGTTTAGTAGATATACTTGTGACTTGAGGACTTAGCAAACATTATAAGCTCAGCTATTTTCTTTACTTTTACTTTTCTAATCAGACAAAAGTCCCGTAAGTGGAATTTTTTGTTTATTATGATTATATTATTAATACAGACTAAGCTGACCAATCTTGAAACTGGAATTCCTCCAGACTGGATGGTAATTATAAACATTTCTTTACATGTGGTTTATTGTATTCATTTAGCATCTACATACATATATTTATATAGTTGTTTCCAATAAATAACATGTTTGTTAAGGGTAACTTTTGGCATGGATAGCGTTGTGTCCAAATTATTTTATTTGTACTCTTATTTGGCGATAATGCTCTCCGCTATTCTACTTGAGTATTCCTAAAGGTGTGTTAAACTTAAGGTATCAGTAAAAATAGGCTAACGACTGCAGCTTTTTCTAAATCAGTCTAAGTACACAATGATCAACATTTCTGTGCATGATTCTCTAGGCACTGGACAATGGACCTGAAAGTATCAAGAAATTCAGGAAAGTGGTGATGAAAGCTAAAACTATTGTTTGGAATGGGTAAGGCAATGTAAAATGTACATGTGCATCTTTAATTTGATAAAATGCACTGTAGATTGATGACTCCAATGAATAGGAAGTACAGTACACGCTTTGTGGTTGGTCACTGTGTTTATGTGTTTGGCCAGTGTTAGAGAACCATAATTCTACTGTTTAGCCATTTCTTCTTCGACACCCAATGCAAACCACTAGCCATCTCGTGTTCTCTGAATCCTTGTGTTAAGTCACACTCTTTTTTTTGCTCTCGTTTTTATGGCCGGCGCTGTTTGCATTTGGGCCATGCATGGGAGAGGAAATAAAGCTTGGTCTTGTACAATGTATGTCATTTGGTTAGAGGTGTGTATGTGTATTCTGCAGTCCACTAGGTTTGTTCCAAGCGTCAGCTAAATTTGCAGGAGGAAGCAAAGGTATTATGGATGCAGTTGTGGCAGCAACAAAAGCTGGTGCAGTGTCTATCATTGGTAAGTTACCGCCCAAGCATATATTAGACCATTTACAGTATAGTCCAGACTAAGGACAAAGGAAGCGCAGCACTGAAGCATACTTTAATATATTTTCCCTTCATTTCCTACTGTTCGCCCTTTCCCCCGACCTAAGCAACAATCTTGGAAAAAAATATGTTTAGAAAAGTGGAAGTTGCAATGTCTAGTATCAAGTTAAAGCTCTTGAAAACACTGCAACTACAATACTCCTCCCTTCCCGCCAAAAAATAATGTTGAAGTCGGCTGGATCATTTTTGACCAGGGTAGGGTGAGGGGAGGGGCCATAGTGGTACCAGATCCACAGGAAAGGCATTCTACGGGTAAGAAAGGTATAAATTTTTAACAGGTTCTGTCCTTGATTAGAGGTTGTGTAAGACACGGATTTTAGTACTACCAACAGTATGAATCTGTTACATTAAATCCATAGTTAATATCTTTGTTAGGTGGGGGTGCTACTGCGACAGTCTTTGTTATGCACGGTACAGAAGATCTGGTCAGTCACATCAGCACTGGGGGAGGTGCTTCCCTTGAGCTTTTGGAGGGTAAATATCCTTGATTTTGCATCTAGAGTAATTTAAGTGACAAGCCTCATTGGACATGTACGTACCTACATAGCCCTAGTGAACAGCAGACATTTTGAGACACCACCACTGGTTTCCCGCGAAAAGACGTCTCAGAAACGTGCGCAGAAATTCCATGCTTATTACGTATCACTACCCAGATCTGGGTAGTGGCCCGTCTTTAGTATGGAATTTTTGCGCTTGTTTCTCAGACGTCATTTCCCGGGGAAACCAGTGGTGACGTAGCGAAATGCCGGCTGTTTTCTCAGGCTTATTCCTACGGCAGAGAAGAAATGATCAGTCATATCAGCACTGGTGGAGGTGCTTTCCTTGGGCTCGTGGAGGGTAATTATCTTTGATGTTCCACCAAGAGGAATATAAGACACAAGCCAATTTCGGCGTGATGTAGGTCCATGGCTCAGTGATTAGGGACGCAAGTCAGTGCAAGACTCGCACATGCACATAAAATATACTATAGTATATGGCCTTGTTCTCCATAAGTCTCTATGTAGCTCAGTGAATAGAGCACGTGCCCATTGTTTGGGAATCCTGTTCTACAATCATCACGTGCTAATTATTACACCTTTCTGACTTGTGAGTTGTATGATGAATGGTATGGAGTGAACAACCTTGTTCCCAGGCTCTCACTTGTTCCTATACCTTACGCAGAAGTGAAGCTTAGTTTTTGTTTATTTGATTTTGTAGGTAAAACACTTCCTGGAGTGGCTGCCTTGACGAATGCATGACAAGTAATCAAGACTAGTGATAAAGACCTAAAGAAATACCGTTTCCTTGTATGTGTACGGTTGTAACCCGTGCGCGTGGCCGTAAATACGGGTAAAACGCTTCTTACCCCGGAGAAACGGCCAAGCCAGCCAAGCTACAGGGTAGAATGGCGATGCCATTGCCATATCTGGGAAATCATAGTCGCTTTTGAAATAGACTCTCTTGGCTGGCACAAGTAGTGTAGAGTCAGAAGTTTACTTTTTTAATATTTCAACGTTGCAAACATGTTCGCCTGCTCGTACCAGTTAGCAGAAACGGCTATGTCTCGAAGATATTGCTGTTTTGCATCACAATTTTGTGCTAAAAAATCATTCCTTACTGCCTTAACCCATACACATAACGCCCCTTTAGAGTTATGAAGGAGATATCAAAGAAATTTCATCAGAGAGAACTAACTGAAGTTATGAATATATGAAAATCATATATGAGAACTGCGGGGTGAAGAATTATATGAAAAAAGATCATCGCAGTTATAGACGCAACTTTTGCGGTTGCGGAAAAGGAAGCCTGAAAAAAAAAATCCCGTACAGGCCTGAATTTTTTCAGGTTTGCTTTTCGCAACTGCAAAAGTTGCGTCTATAACTACCGTGATCTTCTTTCATGTAAGAGAACTAACTATAACACTTCCTTGGTAATTTTCACAGGCAAAGCTCTAAAACTTGAAAAACATGGCGCAATTTTTGTCAAGTTTCAAAGCCATATCCGTTCCTGCCATCCGTTGCAACGGGTGCAACAGACGACAGGAAACAATATAGTCTTCAGTATCAAAACTGGGTCTTTATTTGTGGAATTCATTTGAACCGTTTAAGCTCTCTCAGATAGCAATGCTTGACATAGCCCGTTTTTGGTCCCTATTAGTCACCTTCTACGTCAGTGAGAAGAACTGTGGAATGGAGAAGATAGTTAGCAGAAGAGGTCGCAGAAGGCATGTATAGTGTAGCAAGTATGGTAACTCCAAATCCATAGTTTTATGAAAAGAATAGTTGGACATTTGGAATCGTCCGGCTCCCTCATGATATCACGGGGTTTCTAGATTTTTAGCTAGTTTTTGAAGTCTATTTATATAGGCTAGTATATAGGGTTTCTAGATTTGTATCAAATTTTGTAATTCTTTTGTATGCAGCTGGTTCAATAAACGTTGCTTTGGGCATTGGGATTGGGCAATAGGAAGGTATTGTTTGGTTGACACTTCCGCAAATCATTGCATTGTTTGGTATGCCCAAATGCCCAATACCCAATTGCCAATTCCCAACCTTTATTGAATCAGCTATATGACTGTAAAAATAGGTTTCATAGGTAGTTTCGGGTTTCCTCCTAGTATGGTGCTGCAGCGTTTTTTTGAGATTCTTTCCCTTTCAATGCTTTTACCTCCATTGTACTGTATGTTGTTGAAATAAAGTTTGAATAAAGTAACTCTAACTTTACAAGATTATTTTTGGTGAGCGTGACATTTAGAGATTTTTTTGTTGTTTTCCACTTTAATTTCCTGTTTCTCTACATTCTCCCGGCATTCGCGAAGTGTTGCACGATGAGTCAGTGTCATGCTTCTTTGTCGTGACTCGTATACTGCACGGACGTTACGGAAGTTTCATAGAAGGTTGTATCAGACTCTCTTTTCATTTCGCGTTGCTTGCCGGATTTTTACTTACCAAGCGAAACTAAGATAGTGCTTCAGGTTAGGGGAATGGAGTCCTAAGTCAGAACGTCAGAAGTACCTTAAAGTTTACTGCGGAACATCTCATATTATAGATTTCCCTCCAAAACATGTGTATTTTAAATGTCATCGTACAGTCTTATTTTATATATATTTTATAAGAATATCGAGTCTGAAATTTGCAAAATTTTAAGAAGATGAATAAGCCCGAGGCTGAGATTTCGAAAAGGATGATTATTTTGAGTGATGAAAATTATAGCTTCGTCTCACGGCAAAAATACCCAACAAAACGAAGAAACCTGCATTGGTTATAGCCAAATGGTCAGTGCTAATGACAGTTCGATTAACGGTTCATGAAATACATATCTATAGTAGACAGGAAAAGAAATGAACAAAACCCGCCCTCCCATCCCTCACGGGCCTCCTCCCCCGAGTCGAGTCCAGCGGATGAGGGACTGAGCGCCAGTTATTTTCTTCCCGCGCAGCCGAGCCGGTCGGCATTTAAGGTCGGCATTATATTAGGGAACTTAACATGGAGACGTTTTCGGGGCAACGGCGACCGGACTGGCAGAGAAAGCCTGGAACTGAGGCAGCCGTCGCTTCCCGTTAAAAATCGAACATTAAGATCGCGGTGAACTCAGAGGGACGGCGCCTTTAATTAGAAGAATACCAAAGAGGAAAATATGGCTTCACATAAAGAATTAAGAGAATAAATATTTGCTATGCAGACAACATGTATCGGATGAAGAGTTTCTCGTTTTGTGGGAAAATTATGAGTCCAAAAATCCCGATTTCTCTCGGGACAGTTTAATACGATCCGTTCACGCTAAAAAAACATACGGGATGCAGCTGAGTGCAAGGCAGAATTTCGTGTTGAAAAAAAATGATCTCCACAGGCTTGCCGAAGCCTTACAAATTACAGGAACATTAAAATGCTAACAAGGAACCGTATTCTTAGTTTGGTATTGAAATAATTCCCGGGGAATACTGGCTTGCAACAACAACAACAACGGCAACAACTTTATTTCAGTATTCCCACGTTAGTACAGATGGTATTACCTACTATTCGTTCTAGATAATCTTCAATGAGTTTCATTTATACGATATTCTAACGAAAAGAGCGAACTAAAAACACACAATTAACATATCGGAGTTCATATTTTTTGTCTGGATACTTTTATTTGGCTCGTGGGACAATTTTGTCCATGTCAAGCTCACTTACGGTTGGCTGTTTGCCAAGTTGGATCTTGACTGTGACATGAAAACATAGAAACATTCAAAGATGTAAGTTTAGATCACAGAGCTTGGAAATCGAGCTTGAAATGTGCCTCAAAGAAAACAAGGACAATTTAAGAACGATAATCTGTAAAATTTTGGTTGCTAAACGCAACAAACCTGATTAAAATGAAAGTTAAATACTCACGTTTTCGCCACAACGCCTACCAGACCAGTTTCACGTCGCCGACGGGACCACGACGGCAAGGTGGTGAGCACGAGCATGCGCAGTATCCAACAAATGATGATGTCACGTCCGGTTGAAGTTGCCGTCGCCCCGAAAACGTCTCTATCTTAAGTTCCACCCACCAAAACCACATCGATCGAGAGGGACTGAGATTGAATTTTGAATAACTTAAAAGTCGTAACCGAAGATTCTCGGAAAATGTACGGATGATATGCACGAACAACCGAACATTCGAATGCTAGATCGGACGTTCTAACCACTGAACCACCAGGACTCTAGCGTTAGTGAAGTCGAAATTCTACTATACCACCAGAGTGTACTACACTTCTGTACTGGGAGCTGAAAGAAAGAGAAAGGCTCGAGAAAGGCTGCGTCTATTTAACAGTTGTGGGGGTGCAGAAAATATATCAGGGGGGGTACAGTTTCATGCATAATGACTGAGATGTTAGTAAGATGTTGGAAACGAGCAAAGCGGCGAGAACGAATCGCGAAGCTCGCTGGTAAGTGCTCGTTCTTTCTCACGCGGAGAAAAATCAAGAACAACCTCTGGAACCAGGGTAGCTAGGTGTAAATTACAGCGAGTTTTATATCCCCCCGCCCCCACTGCAAGAAGAGAATTCTTTCCGGCATGGATTTTATCGACTGTATTGACTTCCAAAATTATTTATGAGTGACTTCCAAAATTCTAAATTTGTATGACTTCTGAATGTACATTCACAATTGCGTTTTTCGCTGCCGTTTCATAATTACGATCACAAGCAACGAACATTGAAACACACAAACACACAAAACGGATCGAAATCCACCAATCACAAATCACAAACCTTGACCTTTTGAACCCGTTAAAGTAAAGTTTTGTTTTCTAAGAGGTCCGTTAAGATGACTGACGGCAGCGAAAAACGCAATCGTCAGTTGGCTTTTGAACTTCAGAATTCGCATCTTTGTGAAAAGCGCAGTAATAGATGAACCTTCTAAGGGCGCGATCCATTCAACCAAAATTCCAACTGGCCCGACCAGGAAAAGTGGTCCATCTCAAAAGGTGGACCCGTTTTTTCGAAACTTTTCCAGTTGGACCGAACCGATCCTTTGAGTTTTGGACCGAAATTTCCGGAAATTTTGGTTGAATGGATCGCGCCCTTAGATACACACGAAAGTTCCCAAAATCTTTGTCCACTTTGAAGCAGGAAAACTTGCTCGTCGATCTCGTTTCAAACTCTGCCATGAGTTCTCAGCAATTTTCCTATCGAAGGCGGGTTCGTAACTTAAAATTCCCGCCATGATCTTCTTGTTTGTTTCCGGGGATAAAAGTAAAAAATAAAATATTTTGTATATGTAAATAATAACAACTTATAAAAACCATGATTAAAATTTTCATTGTGTCAATAATTATTATGCTCTATGAGTATGCTCTTAAAAAGTCCGTCAGTACTTTGCAGAAGCGTAACTATGCGCCTAAAAAAATTAAAACCCTTGCCCCTTTGGAGATTTAACAATGGTTATAGTCACCCCAAGCTAACCCTAACTCTAACCCTAAGCTTAACCCCAGGTTTAGGGTTAGGGTTAACTCCTGGGAAAACGATAAGCGTTCAGAACCTGAAACGAAATACAAAAGATTAGTGTCGTCGTAGACGTTCAGGGAAAAATCTTTATAACCTGTGTAGACAAAAAAATATTTCTTTTGGAAGTGACCCCAAGCTAACCCTAACCATAACCCTAAGCTTAACCCTAGAGTTAGGGTTGGGGTTAACTCCTGCAAAAACGATAAGCGTTCAGAACCTAAAACCAAATTCAAAAGATTAGGATCGTCGTAAACGTTCAGGGAAAAATCTTTAAAAGTCGTGAAGACAAAAAAAAATTATTTTGGAAGTCACCCCAGGCTAACCCTAACTCTAACCCTACGCTTAACCCCAGGGTTAGGGTTGGGGTTAACTCCTGGGAAAACGATAAGCGTTCAGAACCTAAAACCAAATGCAAAAGATTAGTATCGTCGTAGACGTTCAGGGAAAAATAATTAAAACTCGTGAAGACTAAAAAATATTTATTTTGAAAGTCACCCCAAGCTCCTGGGAAAACTAAGTTGAGAATAACCAAATGGGTTATCGTCGGGTTGGGGTTAACTCCTGGGACCCCACCCTAAAAACAAGCTTAAAGCGTTCAGAACCTGAAACCAAACCAAACAAAAGATTAGTATCGTCGTAGACGTTCAGGGAAAAATATTTAAAACTCGTGAAGACAAAAAAAAAAATTATTTTGGAAGTGACCCCAAGCTAACCCTAACTCTAACCCTAAGCTTAATCCCAGGTTTAGGGTTAGGGTTAACTCCTGGGAAAACGATAAGCGTTCAGAACCTGAAACCAAATGCAAAACATTAGTATCGTCGTAGAGGTTCAGGGAAAATCTTTAAGACTAGTGTAGACAAAAAAATATTTATTTTGGAGGTCACCCCAAGCTAACCCTAACCCTAACCCTAAGCTTAATCCTAGGGTTAGAGTTGGGGTTAACTCCTGGGAAAACGATAAGCGTTCAGAACCTGAAAGAAAGTGCAAAAGATTAGTATCGTCGTAGACGTTCAGGGAAAGATGTTTTAAACTTGTGTAAACGATAAAATTTTTATCCTGGAAGTGACCCCAAGCTAACGCTAACCCTAACCCTAAGCTTAACCGTAGGGTTAGGGTTGGGGTTAATTCCTGGGAAAACGTTAAGCGTTCAAAACCTGAAACCAAATGCAAAAGATTAGTATCGTCGTAGACATTCAGGAAAGTTGTTTTAAACTTTTGTAGACGATAAAATTTTTATCCTGGAAGTGACCCCAGGCTTACGCTAACCCTAACCCTAAGCTTAACTTAGGGTTGGGGTTGGGGTTAACTCCTGCAAAAACAATAAGCGTTGAGAATCTGAAACCAAATGGAAAAAAATAGTATCGTTGTAGACGTTCAGGGAAAAATCTCTGAAACTGGTGTAGACTAAAAAATATTTATTTTGGAAGTCACCCCAAGCTAACCCTAACCCTAACCCTAAGCTTAACCCTAGGGCTAGGGTTGGGGTTAACTCCTGG